ATAATTATCTTCACACTAGTCAAAATTCATGTTGCTGTATATTTTTTCTTTCTTACTGTGAAGTTGATTTGTACTTTAAATTTTCCTTACTTCTTTCCTAATTCCCAGGTATTGACAAAGTCAAGATGATTATCAGTCTGCTAAGAAAAATTCAAGCTTCAACCTTATAGCTTGAAGGCTAAATCTGAGCATCAAAAGATGATGCTATTAATCACCTTTGGCTATAATATGATCTGCTACAATTTGTTTTTTCCTACTATGAGCAAGATAAAGATTTAGAAAATTTTGAACAAAGCTTTACAGGCTATGGAATTAATACTTTTCCCTAGCACTGTCCATTTAACGAAAAAATCAAGTTAACGTAACAGGAAGAAGTACACACATCAAGAACACTGCAACCTGTTTCAGGAGAGAAATGAATGAAACTGAAGCAGGAGTGACCTGCACACAAACCAGCCTCCAGAAAGCCAAAGAACAAGATCTCCAATTAGAGCACTGTTCACGGCGGGTAAAATGAATCCACGCGGCAGACACGCCTCACTTCTGTAGAAGAGAGGCTGAATTCAGCATAATTTAAGAGGAAGAGTGGTGACTAAAATCGTGGGTCATGGTGACCGCAAGGCTACCATGGCCTAGAAGGCTCTCTGGAGTAGCTGGTGGGTGACATTTATACGTTGTTCCTCTTGAATTGAAACACTTGTTAAGATTATTAACGTGCAATTCACTATTTTGGAGCTGCATTCATTTCAACTAGGTATCATTTAAAGTTTGCCATTGCTGACTTTTAATGAATAAAGGAGAAGGAAGAGTTCCGATGGTATCTGATTTATTTTAGAGGGGAGCACTCTAAACCCTTCTGAAAAGCACCTCTGACCAAGTACTTTAGGAATAAAGGCTCGTCAGACTCATCTCCTTATAAGCTCCCTGCTTCCTAAGACGACCATACACATCAAGGCATAAAACCAAGGCCGAGTCCATGTGCAGTGTCTACAGCTGCACGTGGGGGCCCCAGACACTCACACGGGGAGCGACACCTGGGGGGAATCGCGGCTCAGAGCTCTTGTCAGTTGCCCAAGAAAATACTCCTTGTAAAACTAAGGCTAGGCCCTCACTTTTTGCAATTAGTGACAAACATGCAAAAAATATTTGTGGACAGTCTGTGACAGACCCTGCTCTAGAGAACATACGAACAAGACAATGTCTGTCCTTAGGAAATAGAAAGGTTATGAAGATGAAATGGCTTTCAGCTCCCTTTTCCACATACAAATTCATTTATTAATAATTAATACAGCAATTAAAGAATTCCTTTTTATTTATTAGAGCCAAGTCTCTCTGGCCCTCTCACAAACACTTTGTAAGGGGAGTTATTTTATATGTGCTTGCTTGAAGGTAGAAAAGCACTATTTCATAAAATACACTGTAATTAAACATTTTTACACATTTAGATCGGCTTCATCCCATCTGTATATTTAATAATTCAGACTTTATAGTATTAATATACATTTTAAAAAAAGTTCCTCTTAATAGGAATCTTATTCTCAATCTCTAGTATTTTTGGCGTATTTCAAGCCTGTATTCCCCAAAGCTCCTTGAAGGCTCACAGTCTGTCTTCTGTCTCTCCAGCGGCTCACTGAAGGGACCAGCAGGAAGGAGCGTATCTAAGTCATGGGAAATGACACAGCAGGCACTCTGGGAGTGGCCTCTGGTCTTTCTTGGTTTAAACCCTCGCTCTGTACTGACCAGCTATGGGATTGCGGGTAAATTACTTAACCTGCTCATTTGCAAAATGGGATGACATTACAGGTTTCCTGTTAATGAAGAAAAATGGGAAAGTATACCTCAATTTGAATCCCAGCATGACCACTGTGTACGCTGGGCAAAGGTGTTAATGAGGTACATGCCTCAGTTTCTTCAAGTGGAGTAACAGTGGTACCTATAACATGGCATGTTGTGAGGATTAAATTAGTTAATATATGAAAAACATTAAGACCAGGACTCAGTAGTGTTTAATAAATGTTGGCTGCTGTTACCAATAATTTTGAAGAAGCTATTTCTGACAACAAAAAGGTTTAGCAAAAAGAGACTGTAAAGTATCTTCCCCTGAGATTGCTTAAAAACATTAACCTGGAAGAAAGCCATCTAGCTAGAAACAGAGAAGATATGACAAACAACTCTGTGGATCTCTGCACAAGTGATTCTTTCCAGACATCAAAACCTGTAACATAAAGATGGAAGCTGAATATTCTACTAATAATTTGAGTAGTTAATCAAGAGAAAGAAAAAAAAATACTTCATTTGGGTCTCTGTTTAAAAGGATCAATCAAGAGAAAAAGGAAAGATAAGAATGTTTCTTGAATTGAGTAATACAAGTTATAATTGCCATTTCCTGTCATTTGTTTGGTGAGGACAGGGGGAATACAAGGAGGAAAGCAAACAATTCTGATTTGAACTGAGAACACCAGAAAATGGATTTTTAGTTCACGGCATCGGGAGCCAGTCAAGAAACCTGGGGGGGTGAGGGGGAGTACAGAATATGCTGGAGATGCCACATGGAAGGAGAACACTGCTGAGGGCATAAAGTTAGAAAGTGCTATGTGTGAAAACTGTCAGCCTTATTTTAAATTGTCCAACCTAGGTTTAGTATTTACATCTTAAAAAAACCCAAAACAATAATCTTCTTGACTATACATCCAAACTGTTATGCAGTGGATCCAGGGGGCCACATTAATGTAAAAAGGTGCTGGAGTCGAAGCAAAATTTAGACTCAGAACATTAGAATTAGAAGCAACTTCCAAGGTAACACAATCTAATTTTCTCATTTTCTATAGGAAAAGTAAACCCCAGAGAGTAAGCAATTTTCCAAAGGCATACAAGGTTGGGTGAGAACTCTCACAGGAGCAGTGCTATTAAATCAAGAATCTTAATATTCAAAGATTCCAGAAAGCTGAGGGTTTTATTCAGAGGATAAACCCATTTTATGGAAATTATCTTTTGTGTTATTAGCTAACTCCTAAAGCATGAGTGCTTTATTAGCCATTCACACAAGACTCATCAGATAGTCCAAGGCACTGCCTTCCCACCTTCCCTTATTTGAGAGCAGCAGAAGGTGAGATTGCAAGAGTATTTAAGAGTAGAGTGGCCAGTTTCCAAGACAACATACATGAAACCCTTGGAGTGGCAGTGAATAAGTCCCAGGCCCTAGCCACCCCTAACTCTGAGAATAAGGCCCTGGTCTTGTCTCCAGTAACATTCTGAGTAAAAGTCCACATTTTCTGTGCATGTCTCAACTTATAAACTGCTTTCCCAATTTTTGCTCAAGTTCTCGTCCTTTCCAGATAGCCAAAGTCCCCCCAGTTTTGAAGATACCCATTGAGTGACGCAGAGGGCAAGCAGCACTCTCACAGCTGAGTGATACGTTCTGCCTTAGCTCAGCAACAAACTGCCACATGTCACAACCACCTTGGCTGATGGAGAAATAGGCAGACCCTTGCTGTCAACTGGGACCTTAAATTCCCAGAGCTTTTACAAGAATTAATAACACAGAAATCTACTGATGACATGGAATAAAGGGAATCAAGTCAAACCTACGTTTATACCACTCTGACTACATGCACATGGACAGAGGCAGAAAGGGCCACAGGAAACATTTGTTTTGGGTGTTCCAATATAGTTTCCCAACAACGCAAATAGTTGGAATACAAAATAACAGAGCAACATAAGGTGAGGTGATGGTGCTACACTGATAGTTCTGAGGGTGCTTCAAATCCTTCAGAAAGAGATCTTTAGAAAACAAGAGAACTTTCAAACTGTGAGGTAAGGAAAGCTTTCCTGAGAAATAGCAGGTAAGAAGCTGAGAAGGCATCTGGCCTCCTCAAAGAATCGTCTGGCCTTGCAGGTACTTCTATGGCTGAAGAAGCTCGAAGGGCATCAGCACAGCATGCTTTCCAGATGGACACTCTCAGAAGTATTAAGGCTTGTCTATGGCCATACTACCCTGAATGCGTCTGATCTCAGAAGCTAAGCAGGGTCGGGCCTGGCTAGTACTTGGATGGGAGAAACATTATGGCTTTAGTAGGTCAGGGAATCTGGTTTGGCTGTGGAGGCAGGGCGAACATTATACTAGTTTCCTAGAGGGCATTGTCTTCACTCGGAACATTCCTGATATTTTCAGAAGTGAGGAAACTCTGGGAATTGTGCCAGATTAACTCATTCTAAGTTATCCATTAATGTCTAATTTAAATAAACAAAATATAAAGAAGGTGCTAAATTCAAATGCCTTATTGTAGAAGTGACTTAGAAAAAAAATGTATCAGGTTAAACACCTTGATGAAAGGATTCTGCACGTGTAAGACAAAACAGACATCAATGTTCAGGAAGGCAGAATGTAAATGGGGCCTTTTGGGCATGGTTCCACTTATTTTTCTACTCATGCCTTATTTTCCTTTTTGAAAGACATGTCCATTTCAGGCTTTGTCCTGTCTTTTAAGAGTAAAACTGGCAATGACTGTGAAAACTAGAACTATTATTTACCTGATAGAGCACTCTGGGGACAGATTAGGAGGAAAAGTAATGGAATGCAATCCTTCTGAGTAGTGAGCACATTGTTACAAAGGTAATTACACAGAGGGAGGGGCAGAATCAGGACTCAACAGAACAACCTAAGTTTTGAATCAAACTTTTTGAGGTCAAGGCTTGTGCTCCTTTCGCAACAAGCATTTAGAGCTACATCACAGAAACAAGGGTTCACTCCTTCATTATTAATAACACATGTATGAAGAGCACTTACCAGAGTGTCTGATGCATGAATGCTTAATGAATAGTTGCTATAATTATTCTTCCCATCACTATGGGAAACTGAAGGGCTGTGGTTTGCATTAACCTCACAGATCTGTCAGATAACAACAGGATCTTAGATGTTTATAACATTGAGGTCTTGAAAGGACTCGCATAGTAAAACTTCTACAACCTACTGAGTGCATTCCGGAGAAACTTTTCTTTACCTTGTGGTCCATACTGGCTCATCTGTGGACCGTAAGTCCCACTTGAGTTACTCTGCTGAAAGCTACTGATTCCAGGGTGCATCTGGCCTCCAGGAGAAGGATGAGGCGACATGGATGGTCCTGTCTGCTGAGGTCCATATTGAGACATCTGAGGGTTTCTTTGTGTGCCTGCCATAAAACCTAAGTGAGAAATAAATGGAAATATATAAATGCAGGTGACAAAAGTGGACATGGAATTGTGTGCAAGGCAGGTGGGAGAAGATCAGGGTTGTGGGATTGCCCTATGCAACATCAAAAGAAATCTCAACCCAGTGTGGAAGATGAGAGAGGGCCCAGGGTGCTACCCAAGTCTCTCATTAGGGTTCCTAGGAACCCTATGGACTTAACACTTAAACTTTTCTCACTCTAACCCCACTTCCTATAGTTTTTCTCTCCTCCTCACTATCCTGAAATCCACAGCCTTCTCATATTTCCCAGAAGATAACATCAAGCTCTTTCCCATGATAGAGCCTCTCTCTCCAGCCCCCTCTCCCAAGAACCTTCCACTACTGCTGGTTCCTTCCCGTCCTCCAGGTCCGCCCTGCCTGACGGCACCTCCTTCCTGATGGCAATTTTCCTAACCTGTCATCAGCTTACTCTATTTCTGACTCTCTTCCCCACAAGAACATAAGCCCCAGGAAGGCAGGGGTCATGTTATGTGACCCCTGCTGCACCCTCAGGGCCGAGTTGGGCATTTGCACATAGTAGGTGCAAAAACTGTGTGATGAGTGAATGAATTTTAAATTCCTCTTGTACCCAAAGTGCTGAGCACCACATGGTAGGTGCTGAGCAGATAGCTTGCCAATAGATAAAGAAAATCTATCTTTCAATTGAGAAAGACTATAAAGTCAAGGTATGTCCCCCTCCATCAGTAGTTTGGCCAAACATAAGCAAGTATTATACATAGAATGAACTGTGAATACACAGTTAGACAAAGAATACCCCATGTCAAAATGTCTATCTAAGAAAAAGAAAAATTATCAAACCAGCAAACTAACAAAGGGCAGTTTGCAGAACAACTCCCAGAACCTAGGGGTTAGAGCTGGTGAGAGTACCCGCTTGTCAGCTGAAGGCTCTAGAACAGTGGCAAGCGCGGAGTGGGGTAGGTTCCATCTGCTCTGGAGGAGAACCAAGAGCAGGAGTTTCCAGAGAGTCTCCTGAGGCAGCTGCAGGGAAAGATGGTGCCTGCATCCAAGATCAGCTTACATTTAGGGGGTTAAAGAGTAAGGCATTTACAAAGGCCATGGTTTACATTTCAGTAAGAAAAAAAAAATCTTCGAACACTGCTTCTGTCTAAAGAGAGAGACATAAAATATAAGTAAGTAGAGCTGTTCCTTATTATCCTATTTCATTTATTTATAAAGATAAGGCTTGTTAAATTGGGCTCAATTGGCAGCTCCCAGATATAAATCATCATAGAAAATGTTTGCTTTTTCAAATCTGAAAACAAACAGAAATCAGAGTGCTAAAATTACTATAAATGATTGCATCTTCAGATGTAACATGAAATATTTATCTAAGCCTTACTATAAAATTCTCAAGAGTTTCATACAGAGTCCTGTTTAATTAAAAAACGTGTCTGAATTCCATACAGATTGTATAAGTTTTTCTTCCTTTCTCTCTTTGGAGAATGACTGTTTTCTTCTTCATTAGTTAAGGAAAATAATATGTGTCCTCTTTTTAGCATTAAATTTCACTTCAACCAAGAAGTGTCCATGCTGAAGGATTTAGAACATGTGTAATATAGCACATCCTTAAGTTACTGCTGCCTCTCAGACGCTTACTATAAGCTTAAGGTTTGTTCAAATGACTTCTAAGAATTCTTATCTGGCAAGTTATTTCATAATGTCTGACTCTTAATTCAGTCCTTAAAAATATGTACATATATGATGCCACGATCCAGTTGAGTCATCTCACTCATCACTGGAATTTTGCAGAAAATAAGTTTGTGAAAAGGCTCCTAAAGAGGTGGAATGTTAAAGTTAATCCAAATGGAATATGTAACAACATCAAATTCCACAACGTGGAAACAAGGTTCTATGGCGTATGGAATCCACCTCCTTCCATAGAAATTAAAATGAAAATACAGAGAAAAAAAATTCCATTCTTTTCTCTGTGTGCTTTTACAACGGCACTACTTACAAGAGGTTTCTGAAATCTTGTTTTATTTTTGGTTAGACTCATCCCTTTCCATGTAATTCCCAAGACAATGAAAGGAGGTGACATAATTTCCCTGACTCTTTTCTGAGCTATAATTATTGAATGGCAGCTAACTGGGAACAGAAGGCCTAGATTATAGTTTTGCTTGTGTCAATAGCTCAGAATCTAGTAGGGTAGACAGATATTTATGTAAATATGCTGCAGTGTGTGAACTGATCAAAACTAGCAGCGTGACCTTAGGTGAATCATAATTTACCTGAGACTCAGCTTCCTCATTTTAAATGTGGATGAGGTTGCTGTAAGATAACTGAAATAGCACATGAAAATGTTCTGTAATCTGAAATGTGATACATAAAAGTAAGAGATGGTGATGATAATTTTCTGGTTTATAAATTGCTACGAGTATATTTTAACTTCTGAACACTCCACATATTCAGGTGCAGTTTCCAACCAGCATGAAGAATCTAGTTTTTATTTCTTCGTTTTTTAAGTATGTGGGATCCACATTACTCTAATACTTGTGTCAGTTCAGTTCAGTTGCTCAGTCGTGTCCGACTCTTTGCGACCCCATGTGTAACTGTCTACAAATTCTAAAAGGTTAAAAAAATATATACTCTTGTCTCCTACCACTTAGTCTCCCTGGCCAAAGGCAAGTGGTTTTTTAATGTATCCTTTCAGGAATATTTTATACTTTGTTTGTTAGACTGTGTATTTCCTTTATCATGAGTAAAGTTGAACATTTTGTTTTACAGCAGTTTCAACTCTTTTTCTAGAACTATTTATATCATTTGTCCATTTTCTGTTGGCCACTCTATGTCATAACTAGGAGGTACCTCATCTTGCAGATTCAGCTGTTATTACCAAATAGCTGCATGGTTCACCAAAACTTTTGCATCTGCAATCCTATGAAAATCTGGTCCTTCAGTCTGATTAACACTGGCAAAGGCCGTATATAGTCTTGGCAGGAAAACAATGTGATCTAACTTGCATTTTCAAAAGCTAATTCCACCATCATATGCAGCATGAAGAAAGGACTGAGGGAAAGTAAGGCTAAAGGTCAGAAGACTCCTTAGGAGGTAGGGAAAGTGATACATAATATATCATCATGATTAAAGGCCAGCACCAATCCTACTAAAAAAGACTTCCACTATGGATTGTTGTTGTTATTTGCTAAGTGGGATTCAACTCATTGTGACCCTATGGACTGTAGTCTGCCATACTCCTCGGCCCATGGGATCTCCCAGGCAAGAATACTGGAGTGGGATGCCATTTCCTTCTCCAGAGGATTTTCCCAACCCAGGGATTGAAGTGAATCTCCTGCATTGGCAGACAGGTAGATTCTTTACTGCTGAACCACCAGGGAAGCCTCCATTATGTATATAACCATATTTTTAAAAGGTTATTGAATATAGTCATAATCTAAACAAACTAATAAAAAATTAGAAGGCAGAAGTTAACAAAAATAGAAGTATTTCTACTTTTCATCCTGAATATAGAGATCTGCACATCCATTATTTGTTTCCTTATCTATAAAATAGGGACAATTATTATCTCTCTCATAAGGCTGCTGTGGGGATTAAATGAGATGATACATGCAAAAAACTTGTAACAGTGCCTGGCACACATACACAGTGAACTTTCAATAATCACCATCTGTTACTATTATTATATGCTCAAAAAAGGAAAGCAAGAAAGGCGTCACGGTATGACAGCAAGAACTAGGACATCAGTCGTGGGTCTTCCATGTTCACTGTGCAGAATACAGCAATTAACCTAGCCTTTCTGCCTCTGTTTCCTCACCTGTTAAATGCAGAGAGGGAAGACATACAGTATTTATAGAGACACTTCTAGTAATCCATGATTATGGCTTGAACTTTTAAAAAAAATCTAATTCAGGTCTGTAATTTGCACGCATATTTATTTGGGGGACAGTCTTCATTTTAACCTTTATTTTGAATGAAATAAATGTTAAAATGTTTCAAAAAAATAAATTTCAACCTAGAGTTTTCTATTTATGGTGACACGTTTGATTATATTTTGCCTCCTTTAGAAAGTTATTATAAAATGGCAGGTTGTAGCACAGTTTATGGATAGAAAAACTGACGGTTAAAAGAATGAAGCCTTTAAAAAAAAAAAAAGCTGTGTAATTTTTCTAGTTATTAACCATCTGAGTTTAGAAAACCAAACTAACTAATAAGGAAAATTTAGGAAGTTTAATTTCCCATATAGTATAAAAGGTTGTTGAACTACTAGGTATATTATGGAATTGGCAAATAATCTAACATGGAAAAATCAAATTTTGGAAAAAACTACTAATTTAGACAATTACTATTCACATTATATAAAAGAACTTATTTGGAAATCTTAGAAACTTTATATGAAAATATGGTTTACACATTTCATCCATAAAGTATATGCATAGAAGGTTTATATAAATTATGTAAGTTTATATATTTGATTTTTGAATCCTTCATTATATGTGTATGTGACCACAAACATAAGTATGATCAAACTTGACGAAGCGGAAGCTCTATTCTGAGAGGAAAGGTACTGCAGTAATAGGAAACACACACAAATACACACATGCATGCATGCCATCTGTTTGGAATCAGATGTGGATTATAGAGGCTGCCTCCACTATCCACTGTGTGGACCACAGGTTCTCTTGTATAAAACAGTGAACGCATTTCCTATCCTGGCTTACAAGACCATTCTGAGAATCAAATAAGAAAAACATATGTGGCTGTACTTTTCTAAACTGAAAAACACCATGAGAATGCCATACAAAGGTATTACTGCTGCCTTTTTAGTGATGCTACAAGCCATTCACTGCGTGAGTTCTGATCTAAGCTATCACACTGGTAACTCAACCCACAATAATGACACAGAAATCTACCAGCACGCCCCAATTTTACTCCGGCATTCATGGAACTGCAGTTAAGAAAAAAATAGCATTTTTTTTTTTTTTTAAGTAAAAGATG